CTCCTCCTACTCTGCCATCTTCCCAAGCTCCTCTGGATTCGCGGTCTTAAAATGACTTTTTACATAACATGATATGTATGAGACCAATGTGCATGAATAACTTTGAAAAACCACTGTAAGTCAGGTGAACACAAAGGGCCTTTTGAACCAGCAGCAATCAGCATGAGAGAAATTAAGTGACTTCGTGAAACAGCATTTTATTTTTTCTAAATGTTCCACACTCCTTTCTCTGAAAAGGCATATGGCTCTGAAAAGCGCTTTTGACTTCAAAAATTCAGTTCCCCATATAAATGGCCATTTCTAAGGACCACCCACAGGGATTTACTGGCACTTCATTTTATGGTAGCTTTCCTTGGGTATTTATGCACCAAGTCCCCCGTCCCTCTCCATATCCCTTTGGCTTTATCTCTCACTAATGGGCTCAAGAAAAAGTTGGATTGCTGTAGTTTACCTAGCTTTTGTCTCACTGTTTGGCTCAGAGAGACACCATTCACAGGCTTCTACATTCCAATCAAAGGTCATTTAGAATTTATTTTAAGAGTTCACATGGAACACAGGGGAAACATAATGAAATAGTGGGTTTTCGTGCAACCTGTAACAAATATCAAACGATTGAAGCTCCCCCACCCTAGCCCTACAGTGTGTTCTCCCTTCACAGATATATAGGAAGCTGGAAATCAATTAAATGGGAAGCACTTGGATAATCACCAACCACTTTGAAATTCAGCATGTCCCTATAGGAAAAGGAAACCAAGAAAGGAAAAAGCCCATGCGCCAAGAAGAAAAACAGAATGAGAATTAAAGTGCAATACCATTACCCGAAGTCCTCCTCTCATCAAATCACTTGAGGTAGAGGAAGGAGTCACCTTAGTTCTCTTAATTGCCAAGGATCCTCTTATTTTGAGGCAAAAGGATAGGGACAGGTCCCACTGTAACATCTGCATGTTGACACTTCAGCCACCCTGTTTCAAAGGAAGCGCTTCAACAGAAACCCACAGGCAGACATGTCAACGATCACACCACCTTGCCCCTCAATCTCCAGGCACAGGAAGGCTATTATTGGTTCATCCCTGGTCACCCCACCACCCTTTGGGCCAATGGCCGTGGATCCTGCGTTGCCAGTTGCTTATTGGTTGCTGCCAGCGGAGGCTGGGAACGCAGCTGCTCTCATTGGATGACTCTGTCATCCAGGCATAATTCCAGGGCAGAAGCCTTTTGTGTCAATGGTAAAGATGGCATGCTACCAAGGCACAGATTCAGATAAATTTTTAATGAATTAAAGTAGGCCTTTTTTTAATTTTATTTATTTCTGTTATGGTAATCACCTAAAGTAGGCCTTTCATAAGGTCGGGAGCTTGACTAGGGCACCATTCTAGATAGGTTGAGTTTTCTGCATGGTGTTTGGGTCCCCTTTTATATATTTAACTGAATTAGGATGAGGGGATATGTTGAGGGAATGTGAATGGGGTAAGGGTGAGTTTTGGAAATGCTACAGTGCTTCACTTCTTGCTGTACCAACACACTCGGAAATTCTCTATAGGATACTATTCGAAACAAGTGGGAGAAGGAGAATACAAAAGGGAAGTAAAATTATTGTGGACCCAGCTGTGACCCTAAAGAGTCGCGGAGACGCTGACCTGAAGGACTGGGCCACTTAGGAATGTGATGAAATGCGACACGGTCAAGGAAATCATAACTGACTGCACCACACACATATATTAAAGTGGACTTGCTCACGGTAAATGTGTTTTAAGAGCAGGCAGAATGGCACAGGTCCAAACGCTAGAGTAGGCGGTTCTCTGGAGGGTTACAAGTCTCTTGTGCCAAGTGAGGTGGCTCTGAAAAGAGCCTTTGGTTTGCGAGGTCGTCAAGCAGTCCGGAGGCAGCTCATTTGCGTCCGTAGAACCTGATGGCAGCCTTCATAGCCTTGGACACGGCGTGCTTGCCAATCTCCCCAGGCAGCAGCAGGCGCACAGCTATCTGGATCTCCCTGGTGGTGGTGGTGGAGCGCTTGGTGAAGCGGGCAAGGCGAGAGGCCTCCTCGGTGATGCGCTCGAAGATGTTCTTGACGAACGAATCCATGACGCTCACGGCCTCCTGCGAGAGGCTGAGGCCCTCGTGAACATGCTTCAGAACCCTGGCGAAGTAGGTGGCGAAACTTTCGGGGCAGCGGCGGCAGACAAGGCGGTGGCAGCCGCGGCCACTGCCACGGCGGCAGCCTCCGCGCCTGGGCTGCTTCTGCTTCCGGCTCATCGGGTCCGCTGCTGTGGGCTCCTCGGTGCTGAGGCTTTCCTCAGAAGAAGTCTCACAGCCAGGTTCAACCATGCGCGGTTCACCTTCCCGACAGCTCAGAAGGAAGGGCACTGGCGGCGGCTTGAGTAGCAGGGCCCATTTATAGTCGCTCATTTCCTGACGTCACCGGCAAGTCCTATCTGATTGGACAACATGCAAAGCTAAGAAGCGGGTCACTGAGTCAGGTCTTGTCAGACCTGACTGCTTGCCCTCGAGCTTGACGTCTCTTCAGTCAGAGTTGGAATCAGGCGTCCTCTAATTTTCTTGTGATGGCCACTACAAAAATGTTTAAACATACCATATAAAGGTGTAGTTTCCTCCAGATTTCCAATATGAAATTTATTCTTCAAGGAGAGTCAGAGAGACAGGGAGGGGAGTAGTGGAATGGGCAGGGAGAGAGGGAGCGACTCCCAAGCGGGGTCCAAGCTCAGCACAGAGCCTGATGTTACTCTGTATTTCACAACCCTGAGACCGTGACCCGACATCTGGAGGTAAACTACAAGTTTACATGGAATGTTTGAACGTATTTCTGGCGGCTGCCACAAGAAAATTAGAAGCCACCTGATTTCGATGTCAAGCTCGAGGGACGCAATCAGATCTGACAACACTTGGCTCAGTGACTCGCTTCTTGTCTTTGCATTTTGTCCAATCAGAAAGGACTTGCCAGTGACGTCAGGAAATGCAGCGACTATAAATGGGCTGGCACCCCTCAAGCTGCCGCCAGTGCCCTTCCTTCTGAGCTGTGGGGAAGGCGAGCCCAACATGGCTGAACCTGGCTGTGAGACCTCTTCTGAGGAAAGTCTCGGCACCGAGGAGCCCACGGCAACGGAACGGAAGAGCCCGAAGCAGAAGCAGCCGAGGCGCAGAGGCCGCCGCGGGGGCCGCCGCCGCCGCAACCCGGACAGTTTCGCCACCTACTTCCCCAGGGTTCTGAAGCATGTTCACGAGGGCCTGAGCCTCTCGCGGGAGGCCGTGAGCGTCATGGATTCGTTCGTCAAGGACATCTTTGAGCGCATCGCCGAGGAGGCCTCTCGCCTGGCGCGCACCACCAAGCGCTCCACCATCACCAACAGGGAGATCCAGACAGCCGTGCGCCTGCTGCTGCCCGGGGAGATTGGAAAGCACGCCATGTCCGAGGCCACCAAGGCCATGATCAGGTTCACCTTCCGCCAATGAGCTGCCTCCGCCCAGCCTGACCACCTCGGAAACCAAAGGCTCTTTTCAGAGCCACCTAACTTGGCACAAGAGACCTGTAACTCTCCAGACACCCACCTACTCTAGCGTTTCGACCTGTGCCATTCTCCCCGTTCTTAAAACACCTTTACCGTGAGCAAGTCCACTTTAATATATGTGTGTGGTGCCGGCTGTTATGATTTTCCTTGACCATGTCGCATTTCATACCTTTCCTAAATGGTCCCTTCCTTCAGGTCAGCATCTTCGGGAATCTTTACGGTCACAGCTGGATCCACAATAATTTTCCTTGCCTTTTGTATTCTCCTTCTCCCACTTGTGTCGAGTCGTGTCCTATAGAAAATTTCCGAGTGTGTTGATACAGCAACAAGTGAAGCACTGTAGCAGATACAAAACTCACCCTTACCCCATTCACATTCCCTCAACGTATCCCCTCATCCTAATTCAGTGAAATACATAAAAGAGGACCCAAACACCGTGCAGAAAACTCAAACTATCTAGAACCGTGCCCTACTCAAGCGCCCGACCTTGTGAAAGGCCTACTTTAGGTGATTAACAGAAAACGCTAAAATAAAAATAAATAAATAAATTAATTAATTAAATAAAATAGTAAGGCATACTTCGCTTCCTTCAAATTTATCTGATTCTGTGCCTTCGTAGCCTACCATCTTTCCCTTTTGACACAAAAGTGTTCCTGCCCTGCAATTATGCCTGGATTACGGGTTATTCCAATGAGAGCAGCTGTGCTCCCAGCCTCCGCTGGTAGCAGCCAAAAAGGAACTGGCAGTGTAGGATGCACAGCCATTGGCCCAAAGGGTGCTGGGGTGACCAGGGCTGAACCAATAATAGCGTTCCTGTGCCTGGAGATTGAGGGGTAAGGTGGTGTGATCGTTGACGTGTCTGCCTGTGGGTTTCTGTTGAAGCCTTTTCTTTTAACCAGGGTTGTTGAAGTGTCAACATGCAGATGTTACAGTGGGACCTGTCTCTAGCCTTTTGCCTCAAAATAAGAGGAGGCTGCTTGGCAATTAAGGGAACTAAGGTGACTCCTTCCTCTACCTCAAGTGATCTGATGGGAAGGAAGACTTAGGGTAATGGTAATGCACTCTAACACTCATTGTGTTTTTCTTCTTGGCACATGGGCTTTTTTCCTTTCTTTGTTTCCTTTTCCTATAAGTACATGCTGAATTTCGAAGTGGTTGGTGATTATCCAAGTGCTTTCCATTTAATTGATTTCCAGCTTCCTATATATCTGTTAAGGGAGAACACTGTAGGGCTGGGGTGGGGGGGCTTCAATCCCTTGAAATTTGTTAGAGGTTGCATGAAAGCAATATCTACTCACATGGTCTTCCCTCTGTGAGTGTCTGTGACTCCAAATCTCTCCTTTTCCTAAAGACAACATTCCTATTGGGTGAGGCTTACCTCTGATGATTTCACCTGCACACGACCAACAGGGTAATGCCAGGATAGTAGTCTACCATCAAATAAGGTCACCTTTAGAAGAACGAGGGATCAGGAATACAACATATCAATTATGGGAGCACAAAGTTCAACCCATAAGAGTGAGGCCTCTTGCCCCCAAAATTCATGTCTTCACGTCCACAATGCATTCATCCTATGTGAATGTCACCAAATGTCTTCGCCCATTCCAGCATCACTGCAAAGGCCAAATGCCATCTAAATATCCTGTACACCAGATAAGGGTGCATTTCCAGCTCTGATTATTGCTGACACGTAATTCCTGCCCAGCTGAGAATGTGTGACAGGAGACAAGAAGTTACCTGCTTCCAAACACAATGGACGGACAGGCACAGGACAGTCACTACTATTCCAAAATTAAGGTATTGGAAAGGGAAACAAGGGTTCGTGGGCCCAGAGCAAGCTTGGGTCCTAGTAGGAAACATTATATTAGATGATAAGGATGGAAAAGAATCCTCTCTGGCTTTAGGCCCTGAGCTCTGCTCCCACAAGGGGTGGCAGCCCCACACTCTCTTGCCATGGGAAGTGGCGGCCTCCCACCTATCCAGGGCTGCTGCAGTACCTTCTTCTGAAGGCCAGGTGTTCCTAACCTTTGGAACCCAGGAGGCGGCCTCGGTCTCAGGAATCAAGGAGGAGATGGCTCTACACACCCTGGCATTGTGCCTCTGGGTCTGTAGTGGCAGTGGCAGCCCTGCCAGCCACTGAACCTTCTGTGCGGTCATTTGCCCCCTTTCCTGAAGCATAGCCCATGTTCCCAGTGAGATATAGCTGTGGGCCCTTTTCTCACCTGCCGAATCCCAGCAGTCCCAACAGTCTTCCTTCGTGTTGTCTGTCCCATCTCTTTCCCTTGAGTTCCGGCTAGCCACCTATCAGCCAGCATCAAATTCTCAGAATAAGACACCCGTTGGCTTTCCCTACAATCCAAAGGGTTCAAGCTATCGCACAGTAGGTTCCTCCACACGTTTTTCTTGCATAACCGTATCTCCATTCCTGGCTTCTGCTGAGATGGTCGATTGGACCCAAGTGTCACATGCCTAAGCTCCCAACTGATGGTTTTCCAGGCACATCCTTGGCCCATTTTCCAAAGCAGGCTACCTGGTTAGGCTGAGAAGATTGCAAGTCATCGCGTGCTAGTTTCTTCCCATTTCACACTACCTTCTTCAAGGTACGTCTCTCCTCTGGCATTTACTATGAGCAGCAAGGGGAGACCAGGCCATGCTTTCAACACTGTGCTTACAAATCCCCTCAGCTTATCTGTCCCAGCTCATCATGTGAACCTTCTAGTCTTCACCACACACAAAACACTGGCACATGGTGTGGGCAAATTCTCTGTCACCTGATAACAAGAATGGCCATTTCCCAAGTTTCCAATAACATGCCTCTAATTTCCATCTGCTATCTCAGCAGAAGCACCCTTCTCACTCACATATCTAGCAATATAATTTTCATGATGCTCTATGTATTCTCTAAGATGATAAAGTCTTTCCCCATAGCTCTCCTCTTTTCTGTATGAGCCCGCGCCTGAAATACACTTCATGTCCATATTTCATCCAACAGTCCCTCAAAGCAATCTCAGCTTGTTCTGTCATGTATCTCAAAACGCTACCATCCTTACTCACTACCCAATTTCTTCCCCCCCCCCACATATTACCCAGTGTCAGAGCCACGCCCACTCCCTCAGTCTTTGTTACAACATCATCCCACTTCCGGCATCAAAATCTGCATGATTGTGCTACGTCTATCCTTACAAATTACCACAGACTGGGGAGCTTAACAGAAATGTATTGTCTCACAGTTCTGGAGGTTAGAAGTCCAAATCAAGGGGTATGGGCCAGGTTACTTCCTTCTGAGATGTGTGAGGGAAGAATCAGATCCTGGTCCCTCTCTCTTGGGCTCTTACATTACTGACTTCTCCATTTGTTTTGTTTTCTTTTGTTTTGTTTTCCACATTTTCTTTTCTATGCACATGTCTCTGTGTAACATTCCCCCCTTTTATACAGGCAAAAGTCATTTTGGATTAGTGTCCGTACGAAAGAGGGTATTTTAGCTTGATTGCCTCATTAATAATTCTATCTCCAAATATGATCCCATTTGAGGTCCTGGGGGTTAAGGATGTCTTCAGATGATTTTGGTGCGTGGGGGGTGGGGTGGGGGATAGAACAACGCATGTGAGATACGAAACCCGAGCTGTACATGGGCTCGTGCACTGCCTCTTCCATCATATAGATTATTTGTTGTCCCGTTAGAGAAGTGAGGTGACCTCATTCACCAACCTTTTACTCAAGACGGCATTAATGTTGCTTAATTTTATGGCATTTTTTATTTTTCTAGCTTCCTATCTCTGCAAAAGTGAATATACTCTGATTTCAATTTTTAGAAATTGATTATGGTATTTTTGGCAGTCCATATTTAGTCGATATTTTGAGAATGGCATTTGTACTCTTGAA